AAAAGAGAAAAAGGAAAAAAAAAGAGAGAAAAAAAGGGGGGGGTTGTACCACAGTCTCCTCCAGACGCAGGGCACTAAGCGGGAGAAGATTGATTCTAAAGATACGGAATACAATCATCACTAAGCTTTTTTTTTGATATTGCATAAATTAGTATAGCTGATTGGGGTCTTTTCTCTAAGATTGATTCTGAAGATACGGGACGATGTATTTGAGGACATCATGATCTGCCATTTCGAGATGTCCACCTGGTACACTCACGAACTTCACTTTTCCAGCCGCATCCAATGTTTTCAATCCGATCCAATCCTCGGTGTAGAGCGCTGTCTTGTTAGCCGGGAGAACGGGTTCGACCTGACCATCCGGGTAAAACCCGAACCAAGTTGAGTCATTTGGGATGATAATCGTTTCGTTCTGAAACTGTAAAACAAAACAGAACCATCAAGACAGAAACCAAAAGAAAGTTAAAAAGTCTAATGGTTTTGAAGAGATCAAACCTTGACAAGAACCAGATTGTGTAAACTGGTGAAACGATCTTTGTAAGTTGAGTTTCTTTGGTTTGGTATCTCATTGCTAAGCTTAGGCAGATACTTCGAGTTTTCCAGGTACCTCTTCATATCCTGAGAAAAAAAAAGACAAAGATTTTGTGAAATTTCTGTTAAAACTTTAATCAAAACCAGCTGTTTTCAATTTTCATAGTCCTCAAACGAGAAGATCTGCCATTTTTTACATAACCTTGTTCAATCTGCGAGTTAAAACGAAACCTATCCTTCTTTTACACCATTTCTCACCCAAACCAAGAGTTCTGAATTAAACCGCGAGTATGACTTATCGTTGCAATTTCGGTTAAGAGAAACTGATAAAACAGAGAGTTTTGGCAATGAGGGGTCTCTTCAATTAGCTTTAAAGAGAAGACAGAGTATCTAAAATACTAGGAGCTAGTCGATGGAAGCTAAACTATGGTAGTATGGTGAATGGACATACCATATGTTTTTGAAATAAA